CCAAACACTAGCACGCAACCTATTTTTACGGCTTGAACTCAAGGCGCCTGCGACGAGTACGGTCATTGAGCTACCTCCTAGCACTGACACTATACAGGCTGCTACTAACACAAGCTGACACGGCTTCCTAAAAGAGCCCGACAAACGACAGGGTACTTTCACAAGTCTCGTCTTGCAGCAGGGTGCTGAGAAGAGCTGTCTGCTCCAGGCTTGCTCCTTAAGAGCCCAGAACTCAAAGACGAACTGCTCTCAGATCAATGCCGACAAGAGTCAATCATGTAAAGACTCCTTGGTGTCTCGAAACGGAGACGCGGGCACAGGACCCTCGTCTTGCTGATTTAGACCGAGTGTCGCATAATACTCCAAGACACTTCCGTCCATCCAGCTGAATCCGGCAGCGCTCAACTTGTAGCACCCACCGAGGAAGTATGATAAGCAGAGCCTGGCCATCTCAAGGAAGATTCAACCCCACATGCTGGGATCGGTGATGACTGCGCATGGCGAGGGATCCGCGGAGAAGCGTTCTGGCCAACTGTAGCATGCGGCCGACTCTAGGATTGAGTAAGGGGGGTAATGATGGCGCGGGGCGCCCTCAGAAGCCAGGAGGGATCAGCGCCTCACGCACCTGCACGTCCCGCCGCGTGAGCTCGTCTCGCAAAACAGCGCTCTAATTGCACGATAACGACACTACCGTGTACATAAACATTCTTGTTTTTGCTTATCTCGATATGTGTAAATGTGTACAGACATGCGCACACACACACACACACATTTGCCTGGAGTTTTCCCTTGGCTTGCCGCCAACCATGACATGCCTTGACATGCCTCGTGTAAAATTCCCCACGACGTGCCAGGACAAGCCTTGCCTGGAATTTTGCCTGGGCTTGCCGCATGCCAGGACCTTGCCAGCCTGAACACGAAGCTTGCCACATGTCCTCTCAGCCTGCTGCTTTCCAGGCCGGGTGACGTGGAGGGGAGCACTCGCGAGCGCTCAGAGAACGGTGCTCGGGGATTTCGCATCAACTCGCTAATTCCTGGACTTCGTCTCCCTCTGGCGGGCCCAGAGGTCTGTCGGCCGCGCGTAGCACGAGACCAGACCAGACCCCCAACTTCTGCAAATTCGGGATGATGCCCACTCCCAGAATATTGCCTTTATTGCCCCTCGAAGTGGAATGCAGCCCGGGCACACTGCCAACAGCAGCTTTCTGCTCCAACGACCAGCCCAGCTGGAGCCCTCGGAAGCGCGGCCCCCATCTGCCAGCTGTGCGAATGCGATGACCAGCATGGCCTTGTCAACTCACGGGGGCGTGCGAACAACTAAAAGAACGACTCACTGCACGAGAAGGTGCCCAAGCAGACACGAGCGGATCTGTCAAGCGGGCGGAGTAGCCCTGGAAGTAGAAGTTGAGGATTGCTGCCTTCAGGGTAGAAACCTTGGCTCGATCCGGAATCACATCGACCCATTACCGCATAGGCCTCTCAATTCTTGAATGCTTCGATCTCAGGAGCAGATGCCATGACTCGAAGCGGGCGGCTTGCTTGCTCTCCACGAACATGTACACACAGTAGAAGTATTATGGCTATCAGCCAGGACAGTAGTAGGAAAGTCTGCATCCGTCTCAGCCAGTGCAGAATCGATGCCTCGCACAATTCAGGCATAGCTCCGTGTTCTTGGGGTAAAACAGACCATCAGCAGATACTGCTTTGCAAATCTTTGCCCAAATTTCTCAAACCTATCTGGAGTGAAAGGCTATTGAGCAAACGTTCGACAACATGCCCACAGCATGTCACAACCCCGTACCAAAACCAATTTGGAAGGTAATTAACCCGTGCATTTGATGAGGCGATTGAAAGCCTTCGGAAATTGCTGCGTTCCAGCTGAGCTGCAGTGGCTTGAGGCATGCTGTTAGGCTCGCCCGACATGTTAAAAGAGAGCAGGAACGGCATCAAGACTGCTGGATGCACGTTGGCCTCACGTGACCTGCGCTCGATCTTGACGCATAAGCAAATATTCGTGGCTGTTCAGATTCATGCACGAGTGTCCGGTAGAAGCAGCCACTTAGTCCACGGCGTTCTCGATGCGAGGTGCTCCGGAAACTCGTGCAGGCCACCCTCTCTGTCCTCCAAGGCCACTTCCCCGGAGCTTCCGGTCAGGTCGTGCCAGAAAGCGCTCAGGCCTGTGACATCAGCCAATCAGTGTCAGACAGGATGCTCGCTTCAGTCCCCCGGCAAGAGCGACTTTCCAAATGCTGCCCCCCCCCCCCCCCCCCCGCAACACTCAAACAAAGATGCCGAAATGCAAGTGGGTTCTGTCTGCTGCGATAGCAACCCGGAACCTCAAACGACGCGATCACAGGCCATCTGCCCTTCACTTTCTGATCTTCTCGTCGACATGGTGCTTAAGTTATTGGCAAGGCAATCTTTTCTTCTGAATCACGGTCGAGGCCACCTCCATACTTCGCCGGCTTTGGTTCGACACTTCCGGGGCGGGGGCAGCCACTTAGTTTGATGCATTGCCCAGAGGTCTGGATGCCCAGAGGGTGAAGGACCGGAAACCACAGAAAACTTAGCCAATGCCCCCTGCAAGAAAGTGCGAAGTGGCATGAAGCATGTCCACACTTGAAGTGCAGAGCTCTCAATGGTAGTAGATTGAAATTTGCCCGAATGCGGCTCTGATCGGTAGCCAGAATACATTCTGTTGCAGCAGCCTGTTGAAGAACCGATTGTCCTGATATTTTGTCTTTCGTTCTGACCAAAATGGTTGGTCTAAGCCAGAACAGACGATCTCTAGCTTGGCAACGCAGACTGTGGGGACCAGCCTCCTTGCCACAGATAGGCATGAACCAGGAAGGCAAGCAGCAGCAACGTTCGGCTCCTTACACACCGGTTCGTTTCAGATGGTTTTCATGGCATCGACTCAACCATTGAAACGATTCGAAGCAAGCATCAATGCAGGCTGCGGCTGTGGAGGTAAATCGCACCACCACTCGGCGATGTGGCGCAGAAGCTCTGATGGCAAAGAGAGAAGCCTCCTCACAGCGTCAGCAAGCAACACCACGTCACACAGACTGGCGGAGGCTTTGCGTGCAACGATCACTGGGAGCACGGCTTGGCCCATGCATCTGAAGTGGCAGACATGAAAACAGCCACCAGTGGCTGTGGTAAGGCCTGGTACTAGCTTGAGCCCGCCAGCGGCGCGGAGTCTGCTTGCTTCTATGCTGTTATGGTCGCTGGCCTGGGCCACTGTCTGTCGGCCAGTGTCTGCACTGGATCATTGAGCCGGCAGCTTCGGCCATGTGGGCAGGCGTCGGACTCGAAAAAGCCCTGGCTTCACGGGCCATCGCTGCGACCTTGGCAGAGAGCACGGCAAAAACCGGGCTGGAAGCCTTTTTCTTGAAAGGTGCTGGTTCAGGACGGTACCAGACTGAAGCGACCCTGGGCAAAGTAGACATCCTCAGTAGCGCTGTCGTGCGTCATATGCAGCCCGCAATGCTCAGGTTGTCGACCGTGGCACTCATTGGACGAACATGCAAACCGAAAGCCGGACGCATCACACTGTCTTCAGTGGTCGACCAGCAACGAAGCATCCGACTGAGCTCTGAAAAGAGCTCGAAGTTGCTTTGCAGCTGAGGTGCTGCCAGTGACCGGTAAGCCATGACCATGCGGACATTCGAGGCACCCGCCTGATCCCATCTTAGATCCGGAGGAGGACTGGAGCAGCTACCCAAACCACAGCATGGACCCGCTCAGCCTAGCCTGCTGCATCATCGACCTGACGTGGCAGGATCGAGCTGCTGATCCACATTACCTCCCTTGCTGCGCTTGAAAGAGCTGTGTATGGTTACGATGATAGCCTCTAACATCATCGCCAGTTTCTTGAAACACCATTAGCTTGGTTGCTCCTGCTGCAGCTGCTCCTACAGCTACAGCTACAGCTACTCCTCCGACTACTCCACTCCTACTCCTCCACCTCCTCCACCTCCTCCTACTACTACTACTGCTACTACTACTAGTAGGCATACGGTTGGTAGGTGACGCCAGTGTTTTCGTGGTCTGAGTGTCTTAGTTCTCGAGTTTTGAGCTGTTTTTACTTGTT